CGGTGCACACAAGGTACACACAGCCATAATAACTTTGTATTATTAGTGTTGGACACTTGTATGTACAACATCTGAAGATGTGTAGTTTTATTCATGCTTTCACATAATTTTACAGCATATTGCTATACTATTTCAGTCTCAGTATTTACATTCAAAATTCAATCCAATTCAAATTAGTAATATCTTTAAAAACTACAAGTCCTTTTATATCAGCTGTGCACCGTTATGGTGTAAATATAACCTATCTATGAATTATATCAAATGTAAAAGTCGGCCGAATTAGTGTTGATACTGCAAGGACACGTATTGTGTGAAGAGAAATTGAAGATGTTGTTTAATTGTTGAAATATTTATGATCCACGTCAAGTATTCAGTTTCGGCGGCATTTCTTCAGTTTTTCCAAAGGTCTTCTCATCAGGGCTCTATAAATAAAGAACTACGGCAGATCTGTAATATGTAATGCAGCCGAACCGTGTATTACAATGCCGTTATGTGATGACTTTCAAAGAGAAAAGCAAGAGCACTCGGAATTAAGTATTCTTTTATTCTTTTAAAATGTTTTCCGGATTTCATAATATAAACACCAAATCCCAGCATGCATTGCGGCTAAAACATCCAATCAGCGTAGCTGAGGATCCTGGGTAATCGCTCGAAATGCCTACGTCTGTTTCCGGTTATTTTTATTTTGAAATTCAGTTCCTGACGAACGCCAAAAAAGACCAAGATTATGGAATTAAATCAATAATAAAAGCAAGGATAATTGTGTGTTATTTGTGAGTAAATAACAGTGTGCTATTTTGAAAAGAATAACAAATTAGAAGGAAAAAAATATTTAAAAAATACGAGGCTCTGAGCCCCATTTATTTTCCTCACAGACGGCAACACTAAAGGTAAAATAAAGACCTAAATGAATATTGGGATGTTCTTGCCTTTAGATTCTCCCAATAAGTCCAAGTACAGAGGGTGACTTTGCTGTGAAAAAAAGGGCTGTCAGTCGATTAAAATATTAATCGCATGATTGTTCATAGTTAATCGCACATTTTTGATTTGTTCTAAATGTACCTTAGAGGAATATTTTTCAAGTTTTTAATACTCTTATCAACATATGAGTGGACAAATATGCTTTATGCAAATGTTTATTATCATTTGAACAATGACAAATATTCTCATGAATATTAAACACAACAACCTCTGAACATTACAAATATTCGCCTCAATTCAACCTGGAACATCTCTCATATAATACAAATGGTGTGTGTGTGTGTGTGTGTGTGTCTGATGGATCGTTGGAGCTATGTGCAACCATAGACTGTATATATATAAAGTGTGCAACTCAAGGCATATGCTCGAACGGGAGCTGCCTGGACGCTACAATCATGTTGCGCACTATCCGTGCTGAGTGTGCTGACTTCTCGTACAATGTCGCACTGTCTGGCTTCCTGCATAAAGTCAAGTGCTCCGCGCAGTTGTGGCGAAATGTCGCTCCTCTATTTTCATTTAAACAGCTCCTTATATCCGTTAGCGCAGCTAGCTAGCACCAGATGCTAACAACAACAATGCACGTAAGGTCTCTCTCTCGCTTGCTCGGGCCACACATACACACACCCTCCCGGTGCCTGCCGGTGAGCGTGGAAGTGTGGTCTGCCACAAGCGGGCAGCAGGAGCGGTGCTGTCAGCATCAGCTTGTAGATGGTATTTTAAACTCGATGCGCTCTGAAACTACGGGGCGGCCGAGGACAAAAAATACACATGCGTTAATCGCGTTAAAATAATTAGTGCCGTTAATTTTTTTCTTCCGTTAACGCGTTATTAACGTGTTAACTTGACAGCCCTAGAAAAACACATTTCCACCAAAAAAACGTTAGCAAGCATGAATTCATTCATGAAGTAATCTTCGTCATAACTAGCAAACTAAACATCATGTACATGTACTGCACAACTAAAAACTCATTACTCGCATAAAATGACATCAAAACGCATTTTAATGGTCAAATGAACCTTAAAATAGGCATTTTCCACCGAGAATAACACGAAGGTCGGCCATTGTTGTTGATCACGTGGTCTGGGAGCTGTTGCAGCGTCCATAGCAACCACCTTAGCAACCATGAATGTGTACACATTCATGAAGTAATCTTCGTCATAACTAGCAAACTAAACATCATGTACTGCACAAATAATCAGAAATAACAACTCATATTAATCGCATAAAATGACATCAACACGCATTTTATTGGCCAAATGAACCTTAAAATAGGCATTTTCCACCGAGAATAACACGAAGGTCGGCCATTGTTGTTGATCACGTGGTCTATGAAGGTCTATGGGACGCCCTGCCCGTAGAAGCCTGACGGTCAAGGGGTCCGCTGTCCGCAATGAAGGTCTATGGGACGCCCTGCCCATAGAAGCCTGACGGGCAAGGGGTACCCTGTACGTAATATAGCGACGGGAAGGGGCCCTGACCGTCCGTCAATATGTGACGGGATGGGAGTGAGAACGTGTTGGTGTGTGTGTGTGTGTGTGTGTGTGTGTGTGTGTGGTGTGTGTGTGTGTGTGCGTGGCCTCTAAAGCTTGGCTTCTTCGATGATAGGCGATGCAGCCACGCTCCCATTGGGATAGTCGGAAGGTCCCTATCAATCAAAACAACAAGTCAACAGAGTTATGGACTCAACACAGAAGTTGTTGTTTTTCTCTGTAGATTTTAGGTAGGTAAGGGAAGTTCACCCCTAAACAAAGAAAACTGTTATTTATTTAGATTGTCTTGATGTGAGTTTGATTTTTGGAGACATTTTATCTAGAATGTAATGGCACTGAGCGTTGGTTCTCCAAGCACCAAAATACATTTAATATATTTCTGCTGAACTACACCTCCAAATGAATCACTGTGAAGAAGGCGTGAATCTGCTCACGGGAAAAACCATGTGACAGAGCGAAATGTAAACATTAATGGCGTCCTTCTCTGCTGAAATGTAATCTTAGCTCTCAGAAAGAATCTCATATATTCGAGTTCCTTCTGTACGGTGATATCGTAGAATAAACTACTCACAACAAGTTCTGCACATTATCCTAAGTAACTGGGTCAGGAGATACAACAATTACTAAAGTTAGAAAATAATAACTTGTTTTGTTTTATTTAGGGGTGAACTATCCCTTTAGGTCGGAATGGGTGCAAAATGACTTACATTTTAAAGATACACTCTTAACAAAGAACAAAACAATGTAAACTGCTTCGTTAGCTTCAGAAATAGGATTGCTTCTGTGTAGTTATTTGAACTATGTTTTAATTGAAAGATCTTGATGAAAACAGCGCAAGTTACAGAAAACATGCCAGATGAAAAACACACAAATGGACAAACAAAAGCACATAAATTGGCCCTTGTCACATTAGACATTTTGGCATGTCGTAGCAAGCACGGGATATTAACATTAATGTAATAACATTGCATTGTCTTCATGGAATGGCTTTACACACACAGTAAAAGTGCATTGTTTCCTGTAGTTTCAGTGAAAGCCGTCCATACACTTTATAAAATCTATCACTCTGACTGGAGTTAATCCTGCAAATCTGAGCTAGCCGAGAGATTTCCTTCTCAGAGAGTTTTAAAGGCACAAAAGCAACTTCACTTGTTGATTTTCTCATAAGCTTTTAATCCCTACCATTTGTCTTCTACCCCCTGCATGAGAACACATCTCACTCTGTCTGTACCAGAAACCCCAGCTGAAGCAGCCAAGTGGAATTCAGCCACTAATAATTAAATAATTAAAACCTGTGCTTTACATGCCAACATGTCTTTCAGAAGAACGCCTGTATATTAGAGATGTTAAGATTCACCGATTCGCATCGGTGCACCGGCATAAACGTTCAAGATGCGAGTGCACTGGTTGAAAGAGTGCACATCGGCTACAGTTTGGGTTGAACCGGGTTGAACTCGCGATGCATCGATTGCGTAGCGTCTTTGCATCGGTAAAAAACCGATTCATTCATATAAAATCCCCTAATCTTGTCAACGCTCAGCAGATACGATCTTTGATATCTTCGCCACTACGGAGGCCGAGAGTCTCAGTTATCAACACACACGGAAGTCGAGGAGAAAGAGAAACACAGCGCACCGAAAAATACCTACAAATCAAACGTTTGGCAACACTTCGGATTGTTCAAGAAAGACGTATGTAGTGTGTAATAGTCCTTTATGCTAGGCTATATAGTTGACCGCAGGTCATGAGAGAGTAATAAGGTATCCGTAGACCTTTGTATGAGGTATCTTTATTACTTAACAGGTCTACAGCCATGATACATAGATCCGTCCTAGATGCGGGCTTGCATACACACAGTATCACTCCGCAGCCGCACCCCATCAGTAACGTCCTGATGGTATATGTGCACGGCACAGACGGTCAACTTGAAAAATCGCTCGCAAATTGTTAACGATGCCGAGCCGATTTAAAGTACACAAGTAGTACGAGGAACTTAGCGACACACATAAAGAGTCGACATGGGGTCTGCGGCTGAAAAGAGAAACCTCAAAGTTAGACATATGAGTTAAATCACTCAGTGAGGTGTTCTGTCAGAGAGAGTGGTGTTTAGTTTACAGCAGCCTGTGACGGCCAATAATAATTTAAATGTATTCCTCACTGTAAGCAGTTATGAAATACCTGTTTGTGAAAGGTTATTTGTATTATTTATTGTTCATATAGAACCCACCGCTTTCTGCTCACTGGTGAGTTAGCCTATGAATGAGTGTTAAGCACATCAGGCTGGCAGCTGTATGGGCATTGCTCTATGGTAGCTGTTATTTGCACATTGTTAATCATGAGCAATGCATCCTTACATTGTTTAACTGTGAGGTGTTATACAATTGTACTCTGGAGGCTTTTAAAGGTAAAAAAATAAACGGCATGATGGGATGTGCAGTACCAAATATGTAAAGCACTTTTTTGTTAATGTATGATTTGCTGCATATAAGGAATAAAACAAAAATCCTCTGTCGTACCAAATTGAAGTATCATTATTTTTGCATCGTGTTGAATCGCATCGTATCGCACCGAATCGCATAATGTTGAATCAAATCGTATCGAACTGTATCGCAACAGGGGTGAATCGTATCGTATCGCATCGCCTGGTGTTTCAAATGTATCGTTAATGTATCGTATCGTGGCAACGTATCGAGATGCGCATCGCATCGGCCTCAGTGATGGAGATGCACATCCCTACTGTATATGAATACATAATAAAATCACACATAAATAAATAAGGCCATAGTTTCATTAACAAAGCTATCATAAATTAGCTCAAATTGTTTTGTATGGACATGCATGACTCCTTGGTATCATCAAATATAATAATCTAGAAAAGGATTAGTGAGAAAATAAAAGGTTTCATATTTACATGATATTGTTAATTTGATTTAGAGTAGTTGGAAACAAAAGGACAGAACGAGCAGAGTGAACAGGTGAAGGGTGTGCAGTAGGATTGTGATTTCCAGCAGTGTGTGTTAATTGCTGAGCTCCTACCTTAGTGCATCTGCATGTTGAGCTAAGATTTGAGAAGATATTTTTGTGGAAGCAGAAAGGTACATTGATCAGGCTTGTGAAGGGGGGGTCTGTGGATTGGAGATTAGCGTTGTGGTTCCGTAGTCTTGTCCTGACATCTGCTTCGCCGCCTAAAACACAGCTACTAATCACTTCTTATTCAGAGTTTATAGAGGAGTGAGTCTTCAGTCCAGGATGAAGTTTCTGCGACACGATCTGATCCATCAGGCAGTTTTGTCATTAACCCCAGTCAATTCTTGCTTGTCCCCAACTACTGATTGAGTTTGTAACACTCTTTAAGGTTTTAATGCTTCCATTTTTGTATAGCTGAAGCCTGAGAAGTATTGAAAATGCTAAAGTATTAGTACAAAGTAATTGTTCACTAACTTTTAAGTCAGGAGATATCACGTTCACATATCTGTCTATTAACTGTAAGACACTTAGCTTAACTTAGCTTTAGCTTTGATTAGCTTAACTTTGCTTAGTCTAATTTAGCTTAGTTCAGCTTCTAGACAGAACATATTTTTGGCATGTAAACCAACATAAAATGTTGAATTGTTGTACTGATTTAACAAACTAGCTATAATTGGTTACGTAGTTGTTTAGTAGGTTTTGTTCCAAGATCAGACTGTTTCCTGTCTTTGTGCTTTGCTAAGCTAATCGTCCCCTGGCTTCAGCCTTGTATTTCAAAGTTATGAGCGTTGTATCGATTGTCTCATGTGGCTCTCCACCATCAATTGAATTTCCAATAAAATGTTTAGCTTTTTCTGTTCATTACATGTTTGCATCATTTGTGAGGAATTTGACTTATTTCCTGTCACCAGTAACTTCACCTTGGAGCTTATCGACCACTCAGACATCAACAATGATTTTCTCTGTAGTCCTGTCACCTCCTTAGAGTAGCATTGCTTTGGTTGAATTCAAACATTCTCAAAATGTTGCTCTTGTTTTATTGGAGGTAATCTGTCGTTTTTTTAACCTTGTTTGTCTTTTTTTAAATCAGGTTATTTCCCAAAAAACATACTCAAAGCAATGCTACCAGAGGTTGGCAGGTAACATCAAGGTTAACAAAGAAGAAAGACATGATTTATGACAGACATAGTGCCGTAGAGAGACAATAATCACGTATCAAATATTTGTACAGACACAAACATGCAGTTCAAGACAAAGGTAGACAGATACAATAGGTTAGTTATTTCTGGAGCAACACAAGACACACATGTGACTTTTGACCGCATGCCTTCCATGCAAACCTATGACAAGCAAACAAATAACACATAGGTATTTTTTTCACGGCAGATATGTTGACTTCATTTTGTTCTCTACGTCTGTGCTTCTACTGTCAAAACATCTTCCATGAAAAAAGGATTATACCAAACAATATTACAACCACCATTGCTCCACTACATTATATCCCCAACACCTTTTCTTATATCTTTAACACTTACTGCTGCTTTGGCCAACATGTTTGCCTTTTGTCTCCGCAGATCAGACTTGATTAGGCCTGCAGAGAAAAAGACACAGAGCAAGTCAAGCCTGTATGAGGTCATTATAGCACAACAAGTGTAGTTGAAGGACATGATGTAATACAAGTAAGCATCCCGTAGGGGGCTCTTGTGCACATAAATGTTTTACTGGCTCTTTTCAGGTTTATATTTTGCAAGAATAAAAATGCAGTATGACTAACTCTAATCATGCATCCTAACTTAGCCTCACACTTTGCATTGCAAAACGATGGCAAAGGTTGCAACATAATCATCATCCTCAATTTTTACTTAAGGAGAATGTTTCCCAAATTGTGAACCTTAGTCAGCTATAAAGCTCTTAATAACATTAAATGTCGCTTCGTTTAAGAGTCTACTCTACAGTACATCACAAAATGGGATTTCAGTTCATAAATATGTTCCTTTTCTTGTGTGATGAGCTGATGACACAACATGAAGTCTACTCATGTCTGAAATGCTGGGAAAATTACAATGAGTAACTCGGATGACCTTTGATAGCAGAAAGGTCTCATTAAATAGTCTTGCAGTATTTTTCTAGTGTCCAACATTTTAAGGGCTTCAGTAGCCTTCGCATTGAGCAAAAGTTATACATTGGTCCTCAATTAGCCCTTCAAAAAAATGGCTTTGTTTTCACTGAAGCATGAAGTCTCACATTTAACACCTGAAAATAAGCTGCAACCGTTTGTATGTATTTCAGTGTGCATGTGCAGCGTTTCACACAGTATGTTAATGACCTTCAGAGTAAGAGTTTTCCATTACTTAGTCAATGAACAACATGTTTACGGTTCCATCCTCTGACTTTTGTATCTGCTCTGGGCTTTACTTAATTAAAAACATATACTTTGAGTATAGGACTGAGCGAAAAACAAAATACCAGTGGTAACACACTCGCTCTGCCGAAGTAGTATTTACCCTCTGTTTTATGTAACTCGTTTTAAGTAAAGGAAAAGGTACTATAAACCAGGAGGAGCTTCAACTAACATTCTTGCAAGTAATATTTTGTTGTAAGTGTAAGCAATAATAAAAAACACATTTGCTTTTCTGTTCTACTGTATGTGGATATTAACTTTTAACCCTTAAACAGATCTTCCAAAAAACCCAGTAACCATAATTTACATTCTTAGGATTCAACAAAAACAGTAACAAACAAATACATTCCTAGCATTGCTGTGCGTGACGTAAAATATGTACTTTGCTTTGACTCCACACAGCATATGTTTCACAGTCAGAAAGGTCTTACCCGTCATTACTGTGCCGATTAGAAGAAAAACACAGAGGAAGATGTTTCCTGCCAGAGTGCCGAATCTGTCGATGATCTTCCCCTGGCTGATGGTGAAGATAATGCCGAACACCTGGGCGTGCAAAACATGCAGGAGTAAGAAATAACATGGGTGCTAACATGCACACAAGCACCCTCACAACCATAACAGATGCTGAACAAATGCTTAGTGGTAAACAAAGGTCTAGTGGTATTGATATGTTACGGCTGCTGTTTCTGCCTGCTTGGTAACCTGTCTGGGATTGTCTGCAGCTGTGTGTGTGATTATGTAATTGAGCTGAACTTTCTCCAATCCCTGTGCAAGCCCAGCGCACACCTGCTGGAGAGGACTACAAAGCCTGGGAACAATTATCAGTCAGGAGGCTCTGCTGCGATCAGACGCCTCATACCTTTTACCTGTGTTTGGTGTGACATATGTGCTTAGTGACGAGTGTCAACATATGTGCTTAGTGTCGAGTGACGATGTATGTGCTTAGTGTCGAGTGACGATGTATGTGCTTAGTGTCGAGTGATGATATATGTGTTCAGTGTCGAGTGACAACTTATGTGCTTAGTGACGAGTGTCGAGAGATGTTTTTATGCCCCGGCCACACGAGGACGAAAACGGTCGTTTGCGTTACTGTTTAGTGTCATATAGGACGT